GTTCTGCAATTTTTGCCTCAATTTTGTGAAATTGCAGGAATAACGAAAAAGACATTTTAGCTTCTCACCGATATGTGATTAAATTTTTTGAACATTAAAATATGAAAAAAAATCATGATTTCAAAACAAAATATTAATAAATGGGTTTCAGTTTTATAAAATAATAACCTTCTCTTGGTTGAATTGCACTGACTGTTAAATGTTCTTAATCTGCATGTTCTATTTTAAAAAATAAAATATTTGTCTAAAATTGTCTTCTACAGCAATTTACACCATGAAAATATAGAGGTAGATTTATTTTTAGCTTTGCTTAACTTACCATATTGATTTTTCTGTAATGTACTTTTAAGCAACTCTTTAATGTGTGGGTCCCATGTGATGTAAACATGTACGAAGCAATACAGTATTTGCTCTATTACACTCGTGTAAATAACAGAGGCAAATCTATGTTCAAAATAAGACAAGTTTCAATTATTTATCTTGCTTTAACCTTTTCACCACCAGACTTTCTCGCCCAAATTTGTCTGCACCTTTTTTCTTGTATTCTTCAATATTTCCCAAAATGAACCCTAATTTTGGAGCCAACAGACAAAATTTGAGTCCCTTTTCAGTTTTTACTCTAAAAATTCGGCTATTTTTGTCCCAATGTTCTGAAGGAAAGTGCAGACTATAAACAGGACTATTTTGTGAATTTGTGATGAAAAAAAGGAACTGGTGGTGAAAAGATTAAGTGCACTTCAATTGGAGATGCACTTATAATAGAGCAAATATGGTATACAGTGTTGATTCGAATCAATGCTTTTAATTCATTGATTTACATAAACTAAAATTTTGCTTGTATTGATTTTGTGACAAAATTTGATTTCATTGACTGTTTACTTATGGAAAGCATTGCATATTAATTTTATGTTTTCTGGTTAAAATGACCTAATTATTCATAACCTTGTATTAAATTTTAAAACCATTTTTTTGTTTCACATGGTTCCGGGACCAAAAACTTTCTCCCTTTCTCTCTATCCTCGTGGATGAATGATTGAATTCTGTATATTGCTGCATAAAAGGATGCGTCCACGATTTCTAAGAAGTGATTCAGGGTCAAGTTCAAACAGATTGAGTCAATCAAAAGATGTATTAGACAATAGATGTATTAACATTGATCACTTTATGATTGGGACTGGCAATATTCCCTAAAGATCATGTGGTTGTTTTTTTTTTGTTCAATTGGTACCATGGTTCCTATGAATTCTGGGATTTGAGCAACAACAAAAAATTTCCATGTTGATTTTGTTACATTCGCCATGCTATAAGCAGGATGCTGCCTATATACTTGGGGAACATGTCCATGTACACTGCGTAAAACCGTGGCATTTAATAGCACTATTTTGATGTGTTGAGCAATTTCACAGGGTTTTAAGTTCATGAACTTAACAGGGAAACAAAACTCTATTTTATTTTACATGTTTACATGGATTTAATTTAGTGGATTTTACTTACATGTATCTGCAAAAATAGCAAAATTAAAAACCAGAAATTAAATAATTGCATTTGCAGTATTCATTGGCCAATTCATGGTAGCCGAGGTGAAATAACTATTGCTATCATATTTACTGGTACTTTATTAGAATCACATCTCCAGTCAAAGTGCATATGAACCAAAAATTGCATTGGCTGTAAATGAATCATTGATCTTTTCACCACCATACCTGCCCAAATTTTTCTGAATTTTTTTCTTGTATTCCTCAATATTTCTGGAAATGAACCCTGATTTTGTAGCTGACAGACAAAATTTGGACTATATTGTGAATTTGTGATGAAAAGGTTAAACAAATTATCAATTTTACCATAGAAAAATTTCTGTAAATTACATAAGCGCATATGTTACTAATAGAGCAATTACTGTAATTAAACTTATCTATACTACTGTAAAATACTTTATTGTCGCTTGGAATTTATTTTCTCTCTCTTTGCCGGACGGATGATTAAGTAAAAATAAAATCCAGCGAATATAACTTTTTCCCTATACTTTTACATTCAACTCGTCAAAAATGAAAATAAACTCCATACAAAACACCTAAAAAACCTTTTCAGCGAAAATTAATAAAGTATTTTACTGTATACACCTTAGCTGTTGGTGATTGGATTTATTTTCACTTGCAGTGAGATGGTTTACAGGTGTATGAGCAGATCTGACCTGTTAAATTTGTTTAAAAAATATGGAGTGAAATTTACATTTACTTTTTATGTATTGAAGAGTTTGTACAGGGGGAAAAAGGGTTGATTAGTACATAACAGGAAGCCTGCATGTTTTCACGTTTCTTCCGTTGCAGAAAATTAAATAATCACTGTCATCAAATGACATCATGTTCA